CCACGCACCCCCCCACCCACACCTACATACCCCATACACAAACCACACACACACACACACACACCTACACACCACACACACCCCCCCCACACACACCTACACCACACACACACACCTATACACCACACACACACATACACACACATACACACACCTATACACACACACCACACACCTATATATACACACACACCTACACACCACACACACACACACACACACACACACACACACATACACACCACACACACCACACAAGTGCTGGTATTAAAGACACACAGTCTCCAGAGCGAGTGCCAGGATAGAACCACACACACACACCTACACACCTACACACCACACACACCACACACACCACACACACACACACACACACACACATACACACACCTATACACACACACCACACACCTATATACACACACACCTACACACCACACACACACACACCTACACACCTACACACACACACACATATACCTACACACATACACACATACACACACACACCTACACACACACACCTACACACCACACACACACACACCTACACACCACATACCACACACCTACACACACCTACACACACACCTACACACCACACACACACACTACACACCACATACCACACACCTACACACACCACACACACACACACCTACACACCACACACACCTACACATATGCCACACACACCTACACACACACACACCTACACCCAGCCACCCACCCCACACCTACACACACACACACACCTACACACCCACCCACCCACACCTACACACACTCACACACCTACACACACCCACACGGGGGGGGGGGAAGGGGAGACAGAGAGATGGAGAGAGAGAGAGAGGCAAAATGTGTACACATTAATAAATTTTAAAATTTTAATTTTAAAAGATTCAGTTCCTATCTCTGTTCATTGACATTTGTGATGTTCGGCATTCTTGAACTCCAGTGTTCTGCCACAAAATGATGCCTCAAACAAAAGGGCTTTAACCCTAGGAAAACTGTTTTCAAACATTATTATCAAAGAGTCTCAAAAATTTGAGGGTTTTTTTGTTTGTTTTTTTTTTGTTTGTTTTATTTTTTGTTTTTAGGACAGGGTTTCTCCGTGGCTTTGGAGTCTGTCCTGGACCTAGTTATTGTAGATCAGGCTGATCTCGAACTCACAGAGATCCTCCTGCCTCTGCCTCCCAAGTGCTGGTATTAAAGGCGTGCACCACCACCCGGCTAAAAAAAATTGTTTTATTATTTACACATACATGTATGCGTATGTATGCATGCATGTGCAGGTGCCCTCAGAGGCCAAAAGAGGGCATTGGATCTCTTGAGGCCAAAGTTACAGTCAGTTGTGAGTTGCTTGTTGTAGGTGTTGGAACCAAACGTAAGTCCTCCGGAAGTACAGTCAGTGCTCTCAACTGCTGGGCCAACTTTCTAGTTTCTGTGCTTAGAATTTTTTGATCACCTGGGCAGTGATGGCACATGCCTTTAATCTAGCACTCAGAAGGCAGAAGCAGGCAGATCTCTGTGTGTTCGAGGCCAGCCTGGTCTACAGAGAGAGTTCCCGGACAGCCAGGGCTACACAGAGAAACTATGTGTTGCAAAACCAATAATAATAATAATAATTTTTGATTGAAAATATTGTACAGACTGAGCATGCAAATTACATATTTGATAAGGGGCTAAGATGGATTTGAGACCCGCCTGGGCTATGTATATAAGCCAAAATAAATAAGTAAAACCAAGCCAAACAAACAAACAACAAAAATCCCTCAGAATTTAGTTGGAAGCCAGGTGGTGGTGTCCTACACCTTTAATCCCAGTAGTCGGGAGGCAGAGGCAGGCGGATCTCTGTGAGTTCGAGGCCAGCCTGGTCTCCAGAGCGAGTGCCAGGATAGGTTCCAAAGTTAACCAGAGAAACCCTCTCTCAAAAAAAAACAAACAAAAAAAAAAAAAAAAACCCTGTTAAAAAAAAAAAAAAAAAAAAAAAAAAAAAAAGAACTTTCTGAAAAGAGAGGATAATAAAAACAACCAGAAAGTAGCCAAGAGACAGTGAGTATCACGACAGGCATGTGCAGCTAGACTTTGGAAGGGAGTGCTCGGACCAGGGTTCAGTGGCTGTGACGCTCACCTGGTATTTCACTTCCGTGACACACCCCTTCTCTCGCCAGTCCATAGAATCGGGCAGTTTCTGATTAGGGTTTGACTTGTAGGTGCTGTTTCTATGCCGCTGGCTGGGAACTCTCAGGGGTCTCATCTGACCAAGGACCTCTTCACTGGTCTGCAAAGCAAGAAAACAGCACATTTCTCTTAGAACATTTAATTCTATACCCTTCGGTTACTCCTTCCTTTCTCGTGCACGTGTTTGTGGGGCTGGGACGCACGTGCCATGGCTCACATGTGGAAGAAGTCAGGCGACAACTTGAAGGAGTCAGTATGCTCTTTCTACCATCTGGGTACCCAGGATCGAATCCAGGTTGTCAGGCTTCCACCGCAAGTGCCTTCACCTGGCGATGCTGGCTCCTTTTGTTTGTTTTTGTTAATCCTAAGAATTGTAATGTGAATATATTTTTTTAATTTTTATTTTTTATTTTTCAAGACAGGGTTTCTCTGTGTAGCTTTGTTGACCAGGCTGGCCTCAAACTCATAGAGATCTGTCTGCCTCTGCCTCCTGAGTGCTGGGATTAAAGGCGTGCGCCACTACTGCCTGGCTGAAAGGCAGAATCTTACAAAGCCATGTATGATCGAGAGAACTACAAAGGATATTGTTACATCTAAGTAGAAATTGGTTGCCAAGATGTCCCTTCCCAAAGCACTAAGATTATTTTCTTCCTTGTTTTTATTTTCTCCTCCAGCAACCCGTGTGTGGGGGGGGGGGGGAAAAGAGGAGAGAGAGAGAGAGAGAGAGAGAGAGAGAGAGAGAGAGAGAGAGACTAGGCTACCAGCTAATTTTCTGTGTCCCATCACTTTCTACCTTATTACCTGAGTATTTGAGACAGAGTTTCTCACTAAATCTGGAACTCTATTTCATCTACACCACCTGCCAGCAAAGCCGCAGGTATCCATGTCTCCACAGCCCTGCACACAAGCTCTTTACCCACTGAAATATATCCCAGGTATGACATTTCTCTTTGTTTTTAAGTATTGTGATTCTTAATTTTGAGTGCATCGTACATTTTTGTTGGTGGTAATGTTTTTGGTTTTCATTTTTATTTTGGGGTTTTTGTTTTCGTTTTTGTTGTTTATTTGTTTTGTTTTTCAAGACAGGGCTTCTCTGCATAGCCCTAATGTCCTGGAACTCACTCTGTAGACCAGTCTGGCCTCAGTATTTTGTAAGTTTTAAATTTTCTGTAAAGAAGGGATTTGGCAGGTGGGATGTGGTAATACAGACTTATAGCCCCAGCATTCTGGAGGCAAGAGAAGAAGGAGTTCCAGGTCATTCTCAGTTACACAGACTGTTCTAGCCTTGGCTACATGAGACCATATCAGATAGGGAAAGATGGAAGAGGAGTTTTTTGTTTTGTTTCGTTTTGTTTTTTAAGAATTCAGCCAAAGTAAACTAAATAAGAATTTTTCAGTGTCTTTCAGACTCAGGCTGCCCGGTTTGGCAGCAAGCAATTATATCTTGGAGCCATCTCACTGACTCCAGCACTCATCTTATCTTTCTTTTTCTTTTCACTTTTTAAAATATTTATTTATCTTTTGTATATGGATGTTTTGTCTGCATGTATTTCTGCACACCAGAAGAGGGCATTGGATCTCACGGGACTACAATTATAGATGGTTGTGAGATGCAATGTTGCGACTGGGAATTGAACTCAAGACCTCTGTGAGAACAGCCAGTGCTCTTACCCCTGAGCGCATATCTCCAGTCTTCTTCTTCTTCTTTTTCTTCTTCTTCTTCTTCTTCTTCTTCTTCTTCTTCTTCTTCTTCTTTCTCCTCCTCCTCCTCTTCTTCCTTTTCTTCCTCTTCTTCCTCCTCTTCCTCCTCTTCTTTTTCTTTTTGTTTGTCTTCCTTTTCTTCCTCTTCTTCCTCCTCTTCCTCCTCTTCTTTTTCTTTTTGTTTGTTTTTCACAACAGGGTTCCTCTGTGTAGCCTTGACTGTCCTGGAACTCACTCTGTAGACCAGGCTGACCTCTCACTCAGAGACCCCCCTGTTTCTGCCCCGAGGGCTTGGATTAAAGGCTTGTGCCACCACCTTCCTGATCTCTCTTTCTTCATGGTGGTGTTAGGGATGAAACCTAGGACTTTGAATGCAGGGGAGAAGTGTACTCTGCCACTAGGCCACACTGCAGCCCTGGCTATACAGTCTCCTTTGGTTTTATTATCGTCCCAATAGACCTTCAAATTACTCTTGGTGGTACAGAAATCATACTTGTCCAGTCATGAAATAAGGACTGTTTGTGATTTACCTACCATGTCTCCCATATGGTTCATGCCCAGGCTATATGAATGCATTTCCAAAGAATATTCTAGATTGTGAAGCATCACAAGTTTCAGATTCTTTTCCCAGATGAGGCGTCGGGCTTCTTCTTCATTCTGAAACAGAAGGAAAATGAATGCAAGAGGAATTTACTTTATTAATTTAAAAAATTCTCTCTGTGCACATGTCTCTCTCTGTCTCACCGTGTGTGTGTGTGTGTGTGTGTGTGTGTGTGTGTGTGTGTGTGTGTGCGCGCGCGCGCGCGCGCACATGCACGTGTATGAGTGTGTGGGTTCAGGTCTTCACAGAGGCCAGAAGAGGGCATCAGATTCTGTGGCACTAAAGTTTCAGGTGGCTGTGAGCCATCCGAAGTGGGTGCTGGGAACTAAACCTGGGTTCTCTGCAAGAGCATCAGGTGCTCTTTGCTGCTGGGTCATCTTTCCAGTGTCCCAGATAGTATTCCACTAAGTGTGGATATATCTAGAAGTGTATAAACAAATGACTACATTCAAAACAACTGCTAAACTCACATGTTAATTTAAATTCTTGCTCTTAATTTGTAGGTGCCTATTAATATATGATATACACAAATGAATTTTCCTCTCTTTTTCCTCCTTTACTTATTGTGAAGTTGCTTCTTAACGCTCCAAACTTTAGAAACTTGTTTGATGTGTGTCCCTTACAGGTAACATGCTCTAATCCCTCTAGATTTTTGAGGAGGCCTAACTTAACATCAGTACAGCCATGACAGGCTGCAGGCTAGGGACTAGGTCTCGCCCTTACAATGGCTCCAAACCCAGGGACCAATCAGGATTGAGACAAACAAGTGCCAGATGTTCCAGAACGTTAAAGATAACTAGCATAACTTGTATATAGGTTGCCAATTTCCTTGTAGCAATACCAACACCAATCCCTGTTTGACAGGACTCCTGTTGCCCTACTCCTGCCCAATCAGGAATTCAACCCCCATCTGAACTCAGAATTCCCTATTTCCCCACCCTTTACTATTTAAAAACCCTGCCACAACTGAGCTTGGGGCTCTCCATTCCACTGGCTGCATTGGAATGGATGGAAAGTCCAAGATGGAGCTTGCAATAAAGGCTCTTTGCTTTTTCATATGAACTTGGACTCCTGGTGGTCTCTGGTGGTGGTGGTGGTGCTGGAAGGGACAACACTCATGATTCTTGACGGGGTTTCTCTGTGGCTTTGGAGGCTGTTCTTGAACTAACTCTTAAAGACCAAGCTGGTCTCAAACTCACAGAGATCCGCCTGCCTCTGCCTCCCGAGTGCTGGGACTGAAGGCAGGTGCTAACACCACCCAGCTTATTATTTATTTTAAAGATATTTTAAAGTAGCCCTGGCTGTCCTAATTCTTCTTGCCTAGGTTGACCTCAGACTTGCTGTGTAGCCCATGCTGGCTACTCTCAATGTCCTCCTATGCCTATCTACTGGGTGCTGGGGTTGTACAAATGTGTCATCACACCTGGCTACAGTACTGCTGTTCTAACTGGGCTCATTGGCATTTGTAATTTTTTTCTTAAAAGTCTTGTGTTTCCTTATGTGTGTCTTGGTGTGGGGCTTTACATTTTTTCCCCGTTAGCTTGGTTTGATGACTCAGGAATATTTTTATAGCTGAAAATTCTTAACAACATCTTTTCATGCATCATTTATCCACCATTCTGTTGGACTCTTAGGTGCACTCAGGAGCCTCAAACTCTCATGTCTCCAGCTTTTGTTTGCGTGCACTCTGCTCCATTTTACTTCTGTATGCTGCTTTCTTTGTGGATGTCTCAGAACTATTTTCAAGATTACTGATTTGGGGCTAGAGAGGCAGCTTAGTGGTAACAACACCTACTATTCTTGTAGAGGACCTGGGTTTGGCTCCAGGACCCACAAGGTAGCTCACCACCATTTGTAATTCTAGTTCCTGGGATTCAGTGTTTCTTCTGACATTCAGAGGCTCCTGCATGCGTGTAGTGCAGTACTCTCTGGCACGCATGCACGCACACACACACACACACACACACACACACACACACACACACACACACACACACTTTACATTGGCATGGTTGCTTTTTTTCTGTATTGTTGTAGGTTTTAGGTTTTTTTTTTTTTTTAAGACAAGGTTCCACGTTGCTGGGTTGGTCTTAAGTTCACTGCAGATGGCTCACTCTCGTTCCTCTACTTTACCTCCCAAGTGCTAGGATTTCCAGTGTGTGCTACAACTCCTGACTAAGGACAGTCATTTGGGTTCTACTATTGTAATATATCTAGAGGTAATTATGATGTTAACTATTGACTTTTCTTGTCCTCTCAGAGATGGGTTTCCACAGACTACAATGTACTCAATGTGCAGAGGGCTGTGTATCAAGCTTTTTCTTCTGGACCACCAGCCAGCTTCCAAGTCATGACACTGAGTCTTCTTACTAGTTTTGAATGCTCAGCCTAGCTCGGCTCATTTCTGGATAGCTCTTTTAACTTAAATTACTCTGCTTCTCTTCATCTACCTTTTGCCTCACTGCTTCTCATGTCAGACTGGCAGCTGCCTGGCTTCTTGCCCTGGGCATGTTCTCCTCTTTCTCCCTCATTCTCTCCTCTCTTCTTCTCTCGCTCCCCTCCAGCCTAGATTTCTCCTGTTTATCCTTTCTCCTTGCCAACCCTCCTTCCTCCTGCCTAGCTATTGGCCATTCATCTTTTTATTAGACTACTTAGGTGCTTTAGGCAGGCAAGGTGCAACAAATGAAACTCATATATATATAATTAAACACACATCCTTACATCATTAAACAATGCAGCATACACAAATGTAACACCTCTTTGCCTAGTTAGAATAATATTCCACACCAGTGCCTCCCCTGTTAGCTGAAACCCTTCCAGAGATCTACAAAGCCATCCCCCGCCCCAGTGAGAAACACTCAGGATTGTCTGTCCTGCTTCAGTCTTGGCACAGCCCCTCTCCCCGTGTACGAGTTTTAGAATAACCCTGGAGATAGACATAATGAGCACACATGATGAACACATCCCAAACTCTAGAGGAAAAAAATTGGAATAAGTAAAAATAAATCTAAAAACTATAGGAAAAGAAAAAAGAATAAGCTAATTTAGAGATTAGATATTGAGGTAAGCTACCCATAAATCCTATGTCCATGAACTGGAGAGATGGCTCACCAGTGAAGTGCTGGTGCTGAATTATGAGGGCCCAGCTTTATAAACATAGCATCCATGGGAAACACAAAGGCACTCACCTGTAATCACAGCACTGTGGAAGTAGAAATAAGAGGATTTGCTTCCAGAAGTTGAGCTCTTGCCTCAAAAAAATAAGTGGAGCGCAATTGAGAAAGAAATCTATTGCCCCCAGCACTCAGGAGGCAGAGGCAGGTGGATTTCTGTGTGTTCGAGACAAGCCTGGACTACAAGAGCTAGTTCCAGGACAGCCTCCAAAGCTACAGAGAAACCCTGTCTTGAAAAAAAAAAAGAAAGAAAGAAAGAAAAAGAAAGAAAAATCTATTGTCTATCTCTGGCCTACACACACACACACACACACACACACACACACACACCACATACACACACACACATACACACATCATACACACACATACACCACACATACCACAAAACCACACACACACACACACACACACACACCACTGTTAAACTGATAAACAGATTCAGAAGTCTCAGGATATAAAACCAATCTACAAAAATTAGTAGCATTTTGTATATTTAAATAACACTTTGAAAAAGATATCAAGGAAACAATTATAAAATATTTAGGGGGCTGAGCATATTGCTCAATGGATAAAGTGCTTGCCATGCAAGCATTCATACATGAGTTCAGATGTCCAATACCCATGTAAAGTGGGCATGTCAGTCTGCCTGTAATTCCAGTATCCTGAAGGCAGAGAGCAGGGATTCCCAAGGCAAGCTCCCTATCTAGACTAGTTGTACTGACGAGCTCTGGGTTCAGTTGAGAAACCATAAGTCAGTGGGGAGTGACTGAGGAGGACTCTTCAATGTCCAGGTTGGGCCTCTATACACATACACATATGTATGTGTATAACATACATACCTGTACATACATGTATACCCACACACATGCAAAAAAATACTTAGCAATAAATTCAGTCAAGGAAGTGAAGGCTCAGTGCAACTCTGTGAGGAACCGTGAAGAATCAGACCCCGTTTCCCAAGAATGCAAATATCCTTGGTTGCTCAAATCCCTTGAGAGTTGTAAGCTAAATATAATGACTCACACTCGGGGTTAAGCAGGAAGGCATCTGAGAGTTCACAGTCAGCCTGGACTCCACAGTGACTTTCACACCAGCTTAAGATACAGTGCAGAGGCTGGAGAAATGGCTCAGTGGTTAAGGATACTGGCTACTTACTCTTCCAGAAGACCCAAGTTCTACTCCCAGCACCCAAATGACTGCTCACAACCATCTGTAACTCCAGTTCCAAGGGGTCTGATGCCCCCTTCTGACCTCTTTGGGCACCACATGCACGTTGTACAGAGCCATGCATGCAGTCAAAACACCCATATACATGAAATAAAAATAAAAGCAATTCACAAATGATACACAGTGATACCCTGCCTCAAGAAAATCAACAAAAAGTGAAGTACTTTCATATAATTTACCTACCTACGTAGGTATAGGATTATAATATAGTTGCTATATTGTATTGTGTAGGGGATTTTTTTTTTTTTTGAGACAGGGTTTCTCTGTGTAACTTTGGAGCTTATCCTGGCACTCACTCTGGAGACCAGGCTGGCCTCGAACTCAAAGAGATCTGCCTGCCTCTGCCTCCTAAGTGCTGGGATTAAAGGCGTGAGCTACCAACGCCTGGCATGTAGGGATGTTACGAGAAAAAAAAAAAAACAGTCTATGGGACTGTTAAGAGAACATGCGGTGGACCCATGTTGCGTTCCCAGCACACCGTGTTGGGTGGCTGTAACTCTACCACCTATAACTCTGTGCCCTCTTCTCACCTTCTCACACATCTGCATTCACAAACACCCACCCATACATAGATACACAGAGACGTAAATATTTAAAGTCTGCATGTGTTTAGGTGAGATGTGTTTGTTTTGTTCAATCTTTAACATTTAGTT